CTACTGTACGTATGAGCACAGCAGGAATATACTGAAATTACCAGAAGGCCTCCACATGCACAGCTCATGAAGGGTCTATTATTAAATTTTCACAATGCAGCTAGTGCAGGGGGAGTCGGGAACACTCTGCTGATCATGTCCCAGGCACGTACAGACTCACTCGGCGAAGGGTCAGTACGCAACTGTCAGCGCAATGAGTGCATGCTGCAGCTAAGAGACAGATTCTCGGCGATCATGCATGTAATGTTGGTGAATGGTGCCATTGCGGTGGGACAATCCCAGATGATGTCTGATCCACGTGCAGTGTCGTCCCATGTCTGACACGCCGTTGGCGCCGCCAAGGCGGTACAGTGCACAATGCACACAACTACACAAAATTACACCACAAAACGGTGGGCAATGCTCTCTAGAAAGTACCGTACTGGCAATACATAATTCTTTGTGCCATCTTCAATAGGTCCGTCAAATACAGTAGTAGTAGGTTTTTCATTTTGACCCGACGAGACCATACGACGCTTGCAGATCACAGCACGAACAGTTCACCAGCCACACTCCACGAAAGCAAGTAGTAGTACTCCTGACAAGTCTTGTTTCGTTCCATAGAGATAATAACGGGGAACTCATCAGAGGAGAAGCAGTTGTTGAATGAAGGGGTTTAGCTGAATAATGCTATTTTATAGAAAAGATATTGGCGCACTGAGCCTGAGGTGTAAACACTCAACTAACTCACATATGTGACATATCAACACCAAAGGAATAGTGCAGAATGGAGGTGTTCTGAACCCTACCAGACACAACTATCACAAGTGCTAAATCATTCACAATGAGAAGGAGAGGTACACAGGAATAGATTGCGCTAGTTTACACGTCACAAATGGTACTGAGGTAGTGACAAAGATAGGTGAAAAGTAGACGCCAAGTGAAAGCCAACAAATCATCACGAACGTCTAACGTCACATCTGAAGATTGCTAGCGGCACAAGACAAATACTTCACAAACCTCGATAATTGAAATTCAGCCAGCGGTATAGTGAAAGGAAGGCTGCTGGGTGTGACATCGAACTGTGGGCTGCTGAGGCGACGTATCCATCCTGATCTTGACTGCAAGGTTGGCGTCTAACGCTAAAATCCGAGCAGCAGATCAAATCCTCTGGTCAATGGCAGATTTCCTGGTCCAGGAGAAGTCATAATTCTTTGTGCCATCTTCAATAGGTCCGTCAAATACAGTAGTAGTAGGTTTTTCATTTTGACCCGACGAGACCATACGACGCTTGCAGATCACAGCACGAACAGTTCACCAGCCACACTCCACGAAAGCAAGTAGTAGTACTCCTGACAAGTCTTGTTTCGTTCCATAGAGATAATAACGGGGAACTCATCAGAGGAGAAGCAGTTGTTGAATGAAGGGGTTTAGCTGAATAACGGCATGGTGGTTTGCGGAGGGCAGACGTGCAGACCCGTGCAGACCCGTATGTAGACCCGTCCAAGCCCCGTAAACGAGGGCGGCCCAAAGCTGCTTGTGTCGCCTGCATGTCCGTTCAGAAGCATGCACAGAGCGAAACGTCGTACACCACCTCGAGTGCAAATGTGGTGATAAATATGTCGGAGAGACGTACCGCAGCCTCGCCACCAGGACAAAAGGAAACAACGACGACGCACGCAACACAGTGAGCGGCACCGCGCTGGGTGAGCATTTTGCAGCCAAGCATGCATCTGAACCATTGCCATGGGGAGCAACGGCCTTCTCGGGTATCCGGGTTCTTGGTTCTGAGCGTGACCGCCCCAGGAGGAGGATCCGAGAGGCCATCAACATCAGGGAGCGATCCCCGGAAATCAACAACAACAACAGTGGCTGGGACCTGCTATAACACCACCCGTGCCCCATATTGGCTTCTAGCATGCGTTCTGGGTGATACACTCGGCACATGTGTGTGGGCAATGCTTGCCTTCATGTACCTTGGCTACCACCTTTTATGGAGTATGCTCTTCCACATTCTACCATGGTCTACAATCATCTTTCTTGCTCAGCTACCTTTAGCATCATGCATGGGATGTTGTTGTACTGACCCGTGTGCTTTGCCGGCATTGAATACAGCTGTTATTTACTGCGAGTGGCGCGGGGCTCTACACACCTCACTGGTGGTGTGAGACTGGAACTGTGCTTGTATCACTGCTGTAGCGCAGTATCTACTTTTCGTGCCGTTTGTGCTTGTGTTGTCATGTACATGTTGTAGTGCACACCCGCCGTGACGTGCTTTGCACTTCTCTACGCGCGCTGTCACTATGTACCGCGCTTTGCTTGCTTGCCTCCTTCTTTTATACTGCTGTTCTTTCCATGTCCACTTCATTCCTTATGATGGTCATAAAGACCGAAACGTTGTAACGATACCTCTAATGGATTTGTGTGAAATGCAGTGCTCTCTTGAGTGTAGGCAGGTTGCCTGCAACCGATTCAAGTAAAACGTATTTTATCCAGTAAAAATATCGCTATAACCAATATTATCGGATGTACAAATAATCTACGAGGAGATAAAAGTTTAATAATAGCTATGAAAAGTATGAATGCCGCAGACATCACCACGCAACATGACAATTTGTTCAAGGTTTGAGGTTGTGTATTTCCAGAATCGATTTTCAAGCTCCGATCATCAGTGGAAATACGGTACGTTGGTAGGACCCTTCAACACCTGAGCGCACGTATCAAGCAGCACGTACCACTTCACATGCTGCTGGACGCTGCAAAAGCGAAGCGCCCTAAGCGGGGAAGACCACGCAAGAACCCGCTCCCTCTGCCACCGACACAGCCAGAGCAAGTCGAACACACGGTGCAGAGGAAGAGTGCACCACCATTGGATCACTAAGCCAACCGAATGTGCCTTCTCCACCGTTGCCCTTGCCGCCACCGAAGCCACCACCAGTGCCGTTGGTGGCTGGGTTTGGGGTGGAGTCGGCAACAACGACAGTACCGCCAATCACAGAAATTGATCCCATTTCTGTGACACAGTATCCGGTTGTGCGGACACCGCAGCACCCTCCGGCGCTTGATCCGTGCGTCCAGAGACCACGGAGGTCGACCGACAATTATTCAACCGAAATATATGCTAGGAATGGCCAAGGCCCACGCGGAGCATCGAAGGAGAACAGAAGCCAGAAGCTAAACGGAACACAATCTCGAGACGTAGATGAGGTAAGGACAGTGGCACGGGACAGACGTAGGAAGGAGAACACGGATGGTATCAGACGACTGACTGGTGGTGAATATGAGTTGGGTGATGATGCGGCGGATGACGAAGATACAGATGACGACGAGGCAGATGATGACGAGGCGGCGGATGACGACGAGGCGGATGACGATGAGATGGCTGGTGGTGATGGTGATAAAACGGACGAGGAGGAGACAGGTGGCAGGGAAGGTGATGGAGCTGATGAGGGTGAAATTCGTAAGAAGTCAGCTGTGTACTTGCATTTGTTATCTCGTCCTGATTGTTTGAGTGTGTATGATGATTCCCACTTCTCTGTACTGTGTCGTGCCCGTTATGTCCAGCAGTTGAAAGTCCTTGAAGCTGTTTGTATTCGTACGCATAAGCCCGATTTGTGTTAGCAAAAAGAACATGTTGTAGCACTTAGGTTATTTTCGTGAGTTTGCACCCCGTGTTCATGAGTTGTTTCTGCACTGTTCATGCCCATTTGTCACACTTACTCTTTATCTTAGCCCTCAGTGAGGGCTATTAAAGATAAAGAGTAAGTGTGACAAATGGGCATGAACAGTGCCCCTCACTTTTTGTAATACTTACGCGTCATGTGTCACACTTCTCGGGGATTGGATTTTAAACCTTTGTTTTTCCCTTGATCATGCACTTTAGTTCCGTATTTCCACTGATGATCGGAGCTTGAAAATCGTTTCTCGAACACACAATCTCAAACCTTGAACAAATTGTCATGTTGCGTGGTAATGTCTGCGGCATTCATACTTTTCATAGCTATTATTATCGGATGTAATGATAATATTATCGGATATTATGATGGCAACAAAGAGTCAAAACATGCATAACACACTATAATTAATATTATCGGCTCTAGTGATAACTTTAACACACATGTGACATGTAGCAATAATATCAAAGGCCCTATTTTTTACTTTCTTCACGTTGCTTATTTTTGTAGTGATACATGTACATGTACATAACAGAATGTTTGTATGGAAATGCGGGCACTGTCAACTATGTGGCGTGCTCATTTGTCAAAACGCCATGCTGGAAGTATTTCCTTGCCTTTCATGTGTCGATCGGTAAAGAAGAAGAAAATCGATCGTGTCGAATTATATTGATGCATCGGCTATAGTGATAAAATCACGGAAATCAAAAGGGTACGTACGCTATAGCCGATACAGACTGTATTCTTAGGGGTCACCAAGTCCAAGGTTGACAACCGTTTCTTCCAAAGGAGAAGTTCTGGGTTGGTGTGTTGTAGGCCTGGGCGAATAATAGGGGTGTGCGGATAATGCTCGAAAAGGTGGCAGATTCTGCTCGAAAAGCAGTGAAATTGGCAGAGCCATACAAACCTTATGGCAGGCAATTCGTCGAATTCTGCTGCGTTTCTTTATCCACATATCAAACATGCATGAAGCTTACCAGAAAAAGTACCGAATTCTGCCAATTTCTCTGCCGGTAGTTATTTTACGGGATAATGCTAATGGCAATGCCAGAAAAACTGTATCATAAATTATTTAGGGTCCAGCGGATAACGCCGGTATTATATTCGGCATTATAAGACTATCCGAGCATCAAGATGATAAGATGATAAAATGTCTCAGTAGCCTGTCAGTTTTGTGCCATATTATCGCTCGGTCTGACTCTTTACCATCTTGTTACAGTCGTGGATAGTTGCTGCATAACTCGTTCTCATGTGTTTTCTTCTCTTACCTTAAAAATTGTTATTACTGGCTAAGTATCGATTATTGAATGCACATTGAGCAAATAAATGCACCGAAGATTGACTCACAGGGCACATAGGGACAGGCAGGCTAATGAATGGAACACCGCACACACTTCCATGTCTCAACCTTTGTCATTGTTCATTCTACACTTTCCATTTCTTCTTTTTTTACTAAAAGCCATATGGTGCACGCAATGGGAACATGCAGCAGCCATGGTGGGGCCAGGCGCTCCGTCGACCAACTTGTCTCGACATCGTCATGCTCTGGACACACGAGATAAAGTAGAAGCATGAGGGAAAGAGAAAGAATAGGGGAAGGGGGAGGTGAGGGGAGAGAGAGAGAGAGAGAGAGAAAGAGAGAGAGAGAGAGAGAGAGAGAGAGAGAGAGAGAGAGAGAGAGAGAGAGAGAGAGAGAGAGAGAGAGAGAGAGAGAGAGAGAGAGAGAGAGAGAGAGAGAGAGAGAGAGAGAGAGAGAGAGAGAGAGAGAGAGAGAGAGAGAGAGAGAGAGAGAGAGAGAGAGAGAGAGAGAGAGAGAGAGAGAGAGAGAGAGAGAGAGAGAGAGAGAGAGAGAGAGAGAGAGAGTATATGAGAGCGTGTAGTTCAGCAAATTCATGTAGCAGGTTTACAATGCGTGGGTTGCTTGCATCCAGTTGCTGGTCAACAGGTGATGGTGTTCTGACTTATGCTACTACCCGCTGCTTTCCTCCGAAGTCTCTTTCTCATTTTATTTCTACTGCCTATAAGGCTATTATAGAGCCAACTCTCTTCACCTGCTTCTTCGGTTCAGTCGCGATCCGCTCAGAGACAGTAGTTCTTTTTTCAGAGACAGTAGTCAGCTTTACATTCCAGGTGGGCACGAGAGTACATTTCTAAAAGCCCGAAAACAGTTTGTTCATTTCTCTCATTTGTGGTTGGGGCGGCGGGTGCAGTGCCCTCGGCGGGTGGAGTGCCCTCGGCGGGTGCAGTACCCTCCCCACTCACCTCTTGATACCTAACTGTTATCTCATTCATTACCCCGTCTTCACCCTTCTCCTTCATACCCCCTTCCCTCTTCCCTTCCCCTATCACCTCCTTCACTTCCTCCCCTTCAGTTACTTTCCTTCCTCGTCTCCTTGAGCTTACTCCCTTCACGTGCACCCCTTCACCCCATCGACATCCCAATCCTTCTCCCACCATCACCTTACTCCAGTTCCACTCTTACTATCCCCTTCCTTCCCTCCTTCCCAGGCCGACACTCTTATAATTATGCCTACACGTAGCACAACATGACTGGATACAGTGTGTTGACCAGAGAGAGGGGGCATAGAGAAAATACTTGTACATAGTCAAGTACATAGATCAGCCAGCACCATACCAAGGTAAGCATGGAGCTGATGTCCCTCTAAGACATACTATCATTCAGTCAGTCAGTCAGTATAGTGGGATAGAAAATAATCAATGCATACCAGCCAGGATATGGGGCCGGGTGGGTGGGGGAGGGGGGGGGGGGGGGGTAGGGGTAGCGAGGACATAAATGCAGAACAGGTACTGCCGACAAAACTCAACTCACATGCTTCACTGTCCTCTAGTAAGTACGGTCTGGGAATAACACACAACAGACAGAGAGAGAGAGAGAGAGAGAGAGAGAGAGAGAGAGAGAGAGAGAGAGAGAGGGGGGGGGGGGGAGAGAGAGAGAGAGAGAGAGAGAGAGAGAGAGAGAGAGAGAGAGAGAGCAAATCAGGTGTTCACCACAGACCGGGGGTCCAGTGGATCATTGCAGTAATAGCTCTGAAAGGCAGACACAGAGCAATGTGCAGCAATCACGTGACAGCGGACACGGCTAGCAGCATATACAAAAAAATATGGGGAAGCGTTCGTACGATGCAGGTGCAAAGCGCGTACGGGCACCGCAAGGAGGGAAAATACATGATTTAGGCGGTAAACTAGTTTTGGAAAGTGGCGATCAACCCATAGCATTGAGGATATCAAGATCAGACGTACAAACACAGTACACACTGTATTGAGACCTAATAGACTAGTGCTTGAAATAGCTTATACATGTACAGTGGTCCCTCTATAATCCGGCACCATTTGTGCCATGAAAATCTGCTGGATTAGGGAGGGTGCTGGATTAACAAATCTGATTTACTGCTGCAATGTGCATGAAGAGGACATTTTGGCTACTGAAAATTGTGCTGGTTTATCGAGGGTGCTGGATTATAAAGTGCCGGATTAGAGAGGGACGACTGTAGTAGCTATCTGGGTATTGGAAGCAAGTACTTCAAGCCCACAAGCAAGTGTATGTGCCCTCCTACACACTCACGCACACACACACACACACACACACACACACACACACACACACACACACACACACACACACACACACACACACAGATACTGCTGAGTGGCACGTGAAAGAGCAACGGGCATTGAAAACAAGATTACCAGCTTGTAGCACATTGTACTATACTGACTGGGGCAAAGTCAGTCAGTCAGGAATGATTAGAGTGAACAGCATGCAGGGAATAACAGAGCATGGCCAGGGTGTGTCATCGTGACAAAGCAAAGGCAATGTATAGCATTATGTACACACTAGCGGGACAAAACCTGAACTGAAGCTGCACATTATGACATACAAATACAAATACACAACATACGCACACGTGTGTGCACTCGCAAAACACGCGTGTGTGCACGCACGCGCACACACACACACACACAGACACACGCGTGCGCGGGCGCCTGCACCTCAGCGCGACTGATAACTGTTATCCCCGACTTGTCTCTTGTACAGAACTGGTGGTGATAACTTGACAGTTGAATTTCGCCGGACGACGTCACTGAATTACCTGTGCATGGTTAGATCATAGAAAGAAAGCAGTGCAGAGACAAAATGTGAAAACAGGTTTCAGCTTTGCAATTCGGACTGCCTCCAGCACAGCCAGGTGAGATTTTTTCATACTATTTTCCATGCTCAAGTTTGAATATAGAAGTGTTAGTGAGTGTTGTGTTAGTGTGAGCACCACGCCACACATCTCATATACATCTACAGTCCATTCATCGGAGACAGTCCCGCTAGCTTATGAAAGTCCGATTTGGGCCGAATTGAGGATTAAAAGCCCGCTTTAAATCTCAAAATCTGGGTTTGGGATCTGCTTCTCCGCACATTTTGCCATGGAATACCTGTCCTAATTTTGTAAAACCTGGCTGAATTTCTATTTCCCTGTCCTTGGACTTTTCTCGCCTCAAATGTGGCAAGGATTAATTGCACGGGTCACACGATGCAGGATGTACTGTTGTTTTCACGATATCTACAACTATGTGCCGGAGACACCAAAAAGTTAGGGTGCCAGTTTCCAATGAATGACTGTAGCTATCTGTGCTGCAAGTAGTGTATAGCAATCGTTGTAGACTGGCATTTTGCCCTATGTCAACAGGAGTATGTGTGAAGCAGTTGTTACTATTTTGATATTGAAGTACAGCAACAGTCACCAGTGTTGTACAGTCCTGATTAAAACTACAGAAAAATTATCACAGTATTTGCTTGCTGGTTCTGGCTTCGCTGTGTAGCTGGTGTCACCTGCAAGCTTGGTGTCTTCATGGTCTATTCTATTCTGAGTGTACACTACAATGCATGCATGCACGCATACACCACTATAGTCTGGCCACATGGGACACACGACCGGAAATGAACATTAATGACGGAGACAACCCCGTTGTGCACGAATCGGCTGGGTTGAATTTCTAGTAAATAATGTCAGGCCCGCCGGAACCGGTCCAGTTGGTCAGCTTGACACCGGACCAGCTTTTTGCCCACCAACACATGTTTCTCACTGTGGAGGGTATGTGTACACGCCATATCATACACAAACTGTGTGAAAGGTCATGTTTCAGCAGGACCAATGAAAAGCCTGCTTCCGGCTGTCCTGAAGGTGATCCAGCCATGGTCAAACAGGCCGGTGCACAGGCTGCTAAGGTCATGTCAGTAGAGCAAATAAAATTTCAATCTGGATAGTCTTTAGTAGTACCGTAAAGTACCGCCAGAGCGCCCCACCATCTCGTCCTTTCATGGTCGTATTGTGGAGGTGGTCTCCAGTCCGTAGATCATACGACACGAACTTTGTACACAATCATATTGCACGTTCTGCAGACAATCCGTACCTTCGAGCGGACACGAGCTCCACACAAAAACCTGCTTAGGGAGCATCTCATAAGTTCGCATTTTGTTTCTAAACGTAACGCATTTCGAAATGGGGGTAGGGAGGTAGCGCCCTTTTCGAATAGAAAAATGACTGTTGGCACATTTTCTGGAACTGTACAATCTACTACCGTGCTAGATCCCTGCAGCAAAAGAGTGTGTTTAGGTGGAGATCTACCTGTGTTTGCAGATCAGCTAACCCTTGCACTGCATGCATGCATGCAGGCTACTTAGAGGTGTCAAATGTCACACCAGCCTGATCAAACCGTGTACAGTGTACCTGGCCAGCGTTTACAGCAGTACAGTTGTTGTGCAGGAAGTCTATGTTTAGGTGCGTGTACATGTCATTGATTGTACTTGTACTCAGTAAATGCGGTACTAATGACTGAGTCTGTATGCCATTCACGACCGCTCTAGCAAAACATTCATATCCATGTACATGTACATGTACAATCATGTACATAAGCATAGCATAGCATGGGGCCGCATGGACGTGTACAGTAGATAAACACAGAACAATGTGCGATAAGACTTTCGAATAGAGGGGGGAGGTAGGGGGTAAAGGCTATTCGAAATGCGTTACGTTTGCAAAATAAATGCAAACTTATGAGATGCTCCCTTAGGCCCGTAACTTGACCTTAGTACACTAAGGTTCTCACACCGTACAAACGTCGTTGCACTCTGCCATACGATTTTTCTTTCCCTGGCTGTAAAATCAAGGTGGGGTGCTCCAGCGAGACGGGGCGCTTTGGCGGTACTTTAGTGAGTCAGTCTAGGGGTGAAACGGTTACCCTTTAAGGTTGCAAACGGGTACGTGGCTTAACGGGCGGGTTATCGGGTACCCTTTAGCAGCCACTAGTGGCAGTTACTATACACTAGCCTTCCATATTTCGTGCCAGGAGTACATGCAAAGTCATGCAATTCACAGCAAGTGTACTACATCGCGACAAGCGCAGCATGCGCACTTACTGCGCTACATGCAAAACAGTCAAAATCGTCATATGTAGCAGGATCGAACCAGCAAAAAACACATTCAAACTGTACGACTGTACAAGCCAGCTAATAATACCGTACTGTACCGTCATACACGGCTAACGGGTACTCGTTTGCTAACGGATCAGCAGCTAAACAGACGGGTACCCGGGTACCCGGATCATCCCTTTCACCCCTATACTTTACGGTATGCGCGGTGACCGTGTAACGTGTGCTCTCGAGTGTGATCTTAGGCATAACGTCTGTCGCGGGTCAAGTGAGTTTTGAGTTCCAGGACGTAGGTCGGTCGAATGGCAGTTGTCCTATGCAAGATCAATATTTTGTTTTACGGTTTAGTAATAACTATCGACCACCTCTTGGGGCTAGAGAAACCGGTCTTTAGTTACAGGTGGTCCTTAGTTACAGGTGGTCCTTAGTTACAGGTGGTCCTTAGTTACAGGTGGTCCTTAGTTACAGGTGGTCCTTAGTTACAGGTGGTCCTTAGTTACAGGTTTGCTCCCCACAACCATATATGAATGTGAGACCGTCCGTGCCTGGCAAAGTGGTCTGTAGTACCAGGCTGGTTGCTAGTGACGGTGGTCTGTAGTACCAGGCTGGTTGCTAGTGACGGTGGTCTGTAGTACCAGGCTGGTTGCTAGTGACGGTGGTCTGTAGTACCAGGCTGGTTGCTAGTGACGGTGGTCTGTAGTACCAGGCTGGTTGCTAGTGACGGTGGTCTTTAGGTACAGGTGTTACTGTGACATGTCCATCACTGCACCAGTGTGCCGCTGTGCCCAATATAGGAACTGAACAAAATCAAGGCAGCCTCATCCACACCACTCACAAGCTCACATACGCAGACACAGACAGCAGACTCACGGTCCCTCGTATACTAACTTTCAAAAGATGCTCTTACCGGAGAAGCGTACGCATCTCGTAAGCCAGCGGTGGGTGAACATGGGTTGCGATGGCATCGCAGAACTTGGCGTAGGTATCCCGTCCGCATGCACGTATGCAGTTTATCACGTACAAGTGATGCTCCTCCTTTCCGCTCTGCTTCTCACGGCGAATTAACTCCTCGATGTCTTCCAACCGCAGAAGCCCTTGGCCCTGGACACAGCTGCGAAACTTGGCGCAGGGAATCTTGTACGGCTTGGGCAGAATGACGCTTACAAACTCTTTCCGGTCGAATGGATTAACTGGAGAAGAATGACAGCAATATAACAAATAAAAAACATTTGAGGCAAACAAAAACACATTGGATCATCACACACGCATTGCACTATCTTGCACCACAGAGTTGTTATTGTCAATGGCATCATCTTCCATCCTATTCATAACACTCGCATATTCTGATTCTTCATGTGGACTGCGCATCTGAGGGCATGAACCAAAAAGCGACCACTAGCCAACTCGGTCACCAATGGTGGCAAATACAGTAAAACTGCCCAGATCCGGGCCGGTTGGGACAAAGCACTGCCCGTATTAAACTGGGAATTACCCGTCACATTCAGAACAGATATGCATGTACTTACCGCATGCACTGGGGAAACCTGTTTTCATGTCAATCAAATCAATCGTATAGAACTGTTTTTGCGGCAGTTTAGCGTTGAAAGTCAAGATTTGTGCCCCTAGATGGGTTAGAAAGGTACCCAGTAGATGGGTGTGTGTGGATTAGGTGCGCCCGGATTAACTGTTAGGGCAGTTGTACTGTATACTGCATGCATGTACACAGTGCACATAAGCGGTTCCGCGGGTTTTTTTGTTGTTAGCACCCATAATCGGTTCCGGATGCGGCTAGTGGGGTTGCTCGGCACTTGTGCCAGTGGTTGTATACGTTGTTGCTGTATACTTTATTTTAATAGTGGAAATCAAAACAGGCATGATGCCTAATAAGCAATAACAATGGACCCACCATTGGCATTAGGCGCTGGATATGATGCCGCTAGGGTTTACCGAGTGTTAGCGGCCGTCGTGAGTTCACTTTGGGAACGGACACGATAATTTTACTCTCTTTTTTTACTACTTTTTATTAGGGGTGTGCACGGGTAGTCGGGTACCCGTGCTACCCGTGAGGACCTCGGGTATTCGGGTACAGAATAGCACCCGAAAACCCGAAGTCGCAGATGACATCATTATGACAGGTACAGTGCACGTGTACAAATTCTCTCCATGTCTACCCGGTGTGTAAGGGAAGGGGTGCATTGTGGTGTTACCATGGACACATTACCCGATCGGGTACGGTACCCGTGCTACCCGTCTAAAACTACCAGAACCCGATACCCGAAGAAAATGCTACCCGACTCAGCACTACTTTTTATCTATGGTTGACGAGAGAGCTTGGAAGCTCAGGGCCCTACGCTATGCTTCTTTGCCTTGATGACCTAGACAAAAAAAAGCATAGGGATGTTATAAATTCTTTAAAAAAATCCTCTTTTTTTAAGACATAACCTGGGATTCGAACCCGCACTATCGCGCGCCCTGCATGCATCCCCCGATATACTTCGCATACATACTAATCAGGGAGTCGTAAAATACCGGTATTTTACGGCTCCCTGATACTAATTCTTCCAAGTTGTTTCACATTGTGATCTGACGGCAAAAAAGCATAGGATGTTATAAATTTTTCAATTCTCCTATTTTTTTTTCAGGCATATCCTGGGATTCGAACCCGCACTATCGCCCTACATACATTCCCCCATACACTTCGCATTCATACCCATTCTTCCAAGTTGTTTCACATTGTTATCTTGCATTTGAAAGCCCTATTTGAATATGCATTGTGGCCAGCCGTCTTTGATGGCACGGTACGGTAGGGGATAGGTACGGGACAGGTACGATCGAGGGTAATACGAAACCGTCTCCCGTACCGTACCGTACCATCAAACACAGCTGGCTACATACAGCTGCCCGCAATATTCAAATAGGGCTTTCAAACGCAAGATAATAACGTGAAGCAACTTGGAAGAATGGGTATGAATGCGAAGTGTATGGGGGAATGCATGTAGGGCGATAGTGCGAGTTCGAATCCCAGGATATGCCTGAAAAAATAGGAGAATTGAAAAATTTATAACATCCTATGCTTTTTTGCCGTCAGATACGGATAGCGCCAGGCGTGACACAAACAAACAAACAAACAAACAAACACACACACAAATACCAAATTAAAGCTGTGTGGACCCTGGCTAGCGCCAGACGTTACTGAAGTAACGTCTTCTGCATAGCTACGGGAATAAATATCAATCTATTCCGGAATTCTGCTGACTCCTCGATCATCACGACTTCTTTCGCATGCCGGTAGCATCTATCCTGGCTGACCCATCATTCTATGGTTTCCAAATATTAATTCCAAATCCATCACGCCAATGCAGATATGCTGCAGTACTCTGCTAGTCGGTGGTAGCGTGCCTGCGCACAGCGCTAGCGGGGCATCTACCGTGATCTACTGTCTGTCCTGCTTACCTGTTCAGCTCTGCTCTGTGATCTGCAGGCCATGATGACCTTGGCCCCCATCCTGGCCAGGGCTTTCGTAGTCTCATAGCCCGTACCGGAGTTAGCACCGGTTACGATTGCAACACGACCACTCAGCTCCATTTGTAGTGTACGACAAATTAGCGCCCATAACTCGATTTCTGGCGAGCTAGCGAGCAACAGCATCTGCAGAGGGAATTATGTCAGGCGCAACTACAGACCACAGACTGCGCTTATTATTTGTGGGGGCCTTTCCTGCTGATCTGACTTCCCCGTATGGTGGGACTGCAGCTGAGGCCGTGAGAGATTGCCGACCGTCTCACCGTTGCTTCATGCGTGACTTATTTGAAGTATTACAACGTTACTTTACTCTTTAGTTACATGTATTTCCGACTCAGCTTCGGTCCGTTCGGACCTTTCAAAAGGCCAACCCCGGCCCCGTGAATCCCATTATTCGCATTGGGATTTTGATTTTTGTGACGCTTGTGACTGGGGTCAACTAAAAAAATTTAAAATAATTATTTAGAATGAATGACAGCTATCACGTCACTAGTATCAGCGATGTTTTTCGTCTTTTGTCACCTGGTCACTGGGGTATACTCACGGTATAGTACTAGTACTACGACTCTTCGAGTACTATTTTTTTTGGTACTCTTCATTCAGATCATGTCACGGCATGCACTATACAGTCTAGTACTTGTACATGCGTGGTAAGGAGTAGAATCTGCACCGTTACCGGAGTTGGACCGGCTAGCGCGTTTGCCTTCTTTGGAGTTTGGTGCTTGATTTCGTTCCTGCTGGCTCGTAGTCGTAGTCGTAGGTCAGATCATGCATGGCTAGCCGGCTTTTCATAATCCGACGCCAATGAGGCGCCGGATCCGATCGCACCCCGCGAAAAGTGAAATTGACTTTCATTCAAACCAAATCAAGGAAGGCTCAGTCACACAGTCAGTGGGTGGATATTTCTCCCAGATAAATTATACTAGACAGTAATTGGATAGTACCATGAGGTCGTCCAAACGGCCTTGGTACTCCAGAAAGTCACCTGGTGCCTCATCACATGGCGGAAAGACCACGACCAGCTCTTCAAAGCAGACCCCGGAGAAAGGCGGACAGCAACAGGCCACGCTAGCGCGCTCTCCAAATTCTTCAACGTGAAGGTGAGCGGCATCCAGACGGGATTGGGACGTTGTGAAGCCCAGCTAGCAGTACTGTATGCTTCTCGACCGTTCCTCTGTGATGAGTAGAGACTTGCTCGTGGGCAAATGGTGTACATCCTGTACGGCTGTAGCGTTCATGTCGTTTTCGTGACTGAAAATGATTCCGGGAAAATCAAGCATAATAATTTTCGCGAACAGAATATAATACCAATGCAGTACAGTTTGTACAACTAAGGGGCCGTCCGTAAATATCGATGTTTTTTTAGAGACGATATTGGTGCTTCTCTCCCTTGACCCCCCTCCCTCCCACCAGAAGACGCACATGTACATCTAGATCATGGAATCAATATTTTTGGATGCTCATGAAGTGCCCAGGATGTTGAGCCGGTGTAGGCGTGAAAATCCCGCCGCACTCACGCAATTGCTGCATCGCCTGGGGGGAGCGAACCGGGTTGGCGCTGCAGTGCTCACAGCCATCGTGTACTGGTGTAGCCAAAGCGGCTACGCTCGGGCTTGAATTTTTTCAAATCCTTGTTCAGACAGTGAAGACTGGAAACTCTTGTGGAGTTCGTCCGTGTTTGTTCGCACTGCCTCTACGTCTTGAAAAGGTCTCCTGCAGGCATCGTTCGGCCGATTTCCACAATCAATAGCTCATTCTTTTGCTCTTGAAATTCGCCATGGGCGTACAGCTTCCAATTTTTGATTTTGTTCTTGTGTCGCGAGTTTTAGCTCCGCGAACGGAAGCTGGTTTCACATTTCTTGTATAGCCATTTAGACGTCCGCGTGCAGGGCCTAGGGATCGGCGAAACTTCAGATATTTACATCGATATTTTTCTGATGCTCGAAAAGACGCACATGGCTCAAACCCCCTCCCCCCCAGACGCACCAATATCGTCTCTAAAAAAACATCGATATTTACGGACGGCCCCTAAAGCGGGATTCACAGAAGCTTTTTTGCGATGCGACACGCGATGCGACAGGCGCGAAACCGGGAAAACCCCAAATCGCAGGCATGTCGCACCCCACGCAAGTGTTGTACCTGCGCCTGCACGCGTTATCTCTTCGTCGTAGCTGCTGCTGTATTTGTGTCTCTGTGTGTACGTGTGGCTGCACGTGTTGTCTCTTTGTCGTATCTGCTGGTGAATTTGTGTCTCTGTGCTGCTGACCCGTACATGCTGCTGGGCTGCTTTGTTGCTGACCCGTACATGCTGCTGCGCTGCTTTGTTGTTGACACGTGCACCTTTTTGTGCTGAGTAGACCACCTTTTGTGCTGACGAGGGCACCAATTATTTCTGATATCATGTTTTCCTTTTGCCATGTCAGTCGTCTGTTGTCCGACGGTCGTCGTCAGTCGTCAGACATTCGTTGTCAGAGTCAGACGTTCGTTGTCAGTCGTTCGTTGTCAGTGTTGGTTCTTCTTTATGAGTTCCCCAGTCGCCTACTGAAATGAAGTAGAAGAAAAGCTCTCTAACAATTCTGTACTGGCTCTCTGTTGTGTGGCGTGGCGAGGAGCGTAGACGCAGTTCGTTCACGGTTCTCAAACCCGTGACGACACAACTGCCGCAACTGGGCAATCGCAGGCCATCGCAGAAGTTGAGCTTGGCTCAACTTTTGCGATGCGATGCGATGCGACAAGCGATTTGGCGTACGATTTTGACCTTTTCTACAGCAAAGTTGTACAAAGGTTCAAGAGTTGCCTATAAATTTGTACAAGTTGTATCAAACCGCGCGAATATCATGGTGATGTAGCCAAATCAGCAAGATGTTGTCGCATCACTGACTTCTTCTGTGAATGGTATTTCGCGAGTTCGCATCGCACACGTCCGTCGCAGATCGCGTCGCATCGCGTGTCGCATCACAAAAAAGCTTCTGTGAATCCCGCTTAAGGCTGCGTTTACACGACACCGCACGGCCAGTTTTCCGTTTTCAGTCCCGCATTTCTTTTTTCGTTTTCGTGCGTTTACACGATCAAAGCTGATCCGAGGTGGTGTCCGTTTGTATCGTTTTCGCGCGTCTACACGGGACATGACGGGAGCAAAGGATCCGCAAAAGTTCGTCATGTGCCAAGTGTTGTCGTGGAAGCACCGATCACACTCAAGCAATAATTGAGAACAGGCCACAAAACAATACTCGTCACATGATGAAAGTTATAAAAACAATTTTTTAGATTGTCGGATCCGTGTAAACGGCAGAAAACGAAACACATGTGCCGGAAAACGAGGCCAGCATACCGTTTCGACTATTTACACACCCAAATTTATCCGGCAGACATTTCTGTTTTTAAATTCTTCCTTCTTGGCCAGCGTTTTGGTTTTCTTCCGTTTTGGTGTACAACTTTTACGTTTTGCTCTTCGTACCGTGTAAATGAACCATGCATCCGAA